ACGGACCACTCGACTCTACGGACTCATCCGAAGGCAGAGCTGAGAGTGAGTGGCGAGTAGGCAGAGGAGTGGCCTGAGGCGAGGAGTACGTGAAGCCGAAGCGGTGAAGGACCTGCTGCACCATGTGTGACTGAGTCAAGGTAATGGTGCGGCGTGCTCTGTCCCGAGTGATCTGCAAGCCAAGGTAGCTGCGCAGTTCACCCAGGTCTGTGCACGTGTGTCTCTTCAGCAGTTCAGACTTCACGTAGGCGAGTCCAGCAGTGTCCGCTGTGGCAAAGACCAAGTCGTCGACGTACACGAGGATGTAGAACGGCGGCAGTGAAGTGTCGGTGCGCAGAAACAGCGACGGGTCAGCAGTAGAAGGAGCAAACCCAAGAGCCGCAAGCGTAGTCCTCAGTGTGTCGTGCCACTCACGCGGTGCCTGGCGGAGATCGTAGACTGGCCGTCGGAGGCTCCACTGGGTGCCAGGAGGGAAAGTCCCAGTGAAGCCAGGTGGACGGCGCAGCCAGATCTCCTCGTGCAGGCTACCCTGCAGGAACGCAGTGCTGAAGTCGAGAGAGTGAAGCTCGTAGTCGCGCTGAGCGGCTATGTGCAGCAGCACCCGAAGAGTGGTCATCTTCGGGGTGGGAGAGAAGGTCTGAAAGTAGTCAACTCCCTGCCGCTGACTGAAGCCACGAGCAACGTACCGCGCCTTGAAGACAGGTGGAGAGCCCGGCGGCCGCTTCACCCGGAAGATCCACATGCCACTGACGATGTTCGCCCCAGGAGGGGGAACTGCGTCAACGTAGGTGCCTGTGGACTTCCAGGAAGCCATCTCTGCATCCATAGCTGCCTGCCACTGAGAGGAGTAGGGACCCTCTACGGCCTCCGCGTAAGAACGCGGAGTCGGGATGTCTAGTGCATCCGGGTCTCCCTCAGGGGCAAGCAGTACAGACGCGAGATGAGGTGAAGCAGCCGCTAGACACTGTAACTCCTCCTGTCTGTCCTCTAGGACGTCCGTGCCAAGAGCACACTCACCCCCGACGGACGGAGGACAGACAGACGCAGACTCAGCAACAAGACCAGCAGCGTAGTCGAGACGACAGCGAGCAGCAAAGTCAACGAGCTCAGCGACTAGAGCAGACGCAGCAGTGGACTCAAAAGAGGGGTCAGTGACGACAGTAGCAAGCAGACGCGTGACAGTAGGACTGGCAGCGCGAAGAGAGTCCGACTCAGGGTCGGCAAGCGCAGGAAGAGAGGACTTAGGAGGCGAAGGCAAAGGGGCACGCAGAGGAGCAGTGGACGGACGCAGAGACATCCGGTGCGTGCCAGGGACAGGAGGAGGACGCTGACGCGAACCGCGACCACTAGTGCGAGCAGCACGAACAGGCGACGCGGGACGAGACGCAGGCTCACGACGCTCAGCAAGACCTCCAGTAGGACCAGTGTAAGGAGAGGGAGCAGGCAGAGGAGAGGAAGGCTCCAACAGTGACTGCGACTGGACAGGCTGTGGACACTCTACCGAAGGAGAAAGACCAAGAACCTGCTGTAGGAGCGGAACGAAGTACGACCGAGGCCGCGCGGCAGCTCCAGACTCAGCAGGGACAGCACCAGCACCCTCACCGACAGCACCAGCGCCACCCACACCTCCAGCGGCAGGACCAACAGCAGTAGGCTCAGCACCAACGCCCTCAGCACCTCCAGCTCCACGAGGACCCGCAGGTCCAGCAGCTCCGGGACCGGCAGCACCCGCACCCTCGACGGTCGAAGAAGCTCCAGCTCCAGCTCCAGCAGCACCTCCTGACTCAGCAGCACGCCTCCAGCGGCGAGCGTACCACTCGCGCAGCTCCTGTGGAGAGAGGGGCTCCCGGCGAGACGCAGCAGCAGGAGAAACCCCAGGCTCAGCAGCTCCAGACGCAGCAGGGACAGCACCAGCGCCCTCAGAGACAGCACCAGCGCCACCCACACCTCCAGCGGCAGGACCAACAGCAGCAGGCTCAGCACCAACGCCCTCAGCAGCTCCAGCTCCAGGAGGACCCGCAGGTCCAGTAGCTCCGGGACCGGCAGCACCCGCACCCTCGACGGTCGAAGAAGCTCCAGCTCCAGCTCCAGCAGCACCTCCAGACTCAGCAGCACGCCTCCAGCGGCGAGCGAACCACTCGCGCAGCTCCTGTGGAGAGAGGGGCTCCCGGCAAGACGCAGCAGCAGGAGAAACCCCAGGCTCAGCAGCTCCCGACCCAGCACCCCCAGACCCATCACCTCCAGGCACAGCACCCCCCTGCTCAGCACCCCCAGGCTCCGCACTCTCCGCAGTAGCACCCGCAGGCCCAGTACCCCCAGCAGTAGCACCCCCAGGCTCAGTACCCCCACGCACAGCACCCCCAGAGTCAGCACCCCCAGGCTCAGCACCCGCAGCAGCACCAGAGTCACCTGTAACCTCGACCGGGTCAACGGCGTCTACCTGGGACACACCTGAGGGGGCAGGAACCTGAGGGGGGAGGGGGTCTACCGGGGGGGGAACCGGTACAAGGAAGTCCGGGGGAGGGGGGAGGGAAGGAGTGTGGTAGGGGAAGAGACGGTAGAAGGGGACTGACTCGTCGAACGTGACGTCCTGGGAGGACAGAACACGACGAGAGGAGGGGTGGTAAAACTGCCACCCTGGGGCGTCAGTGGGGAAGCCAAGGAAGACACAGGGAGCAGCACGAGGGGACAGCTTGTCCGCAGACAAGTCGCGGACAAACGCCCGAGATCCCCAGACACGGAACACAGACGCATCGCCAACCTTCCCTGTCCACAGCAAGGCTGGGGACATCGCAGGCCGAGAGACCCGGGGGTGAAGGTTGAGCTGATGCGCCGCGTACCTCACCGCAAACGGCCACAGAAAATGGGGGGCAGCCGCATGCATCATGGACGTACGAGCGACATCCATGACCATGCCAATGCGGCGCTCAGCAATCCCATTTTGCTGTGGTGAGTCCGGAAGCGTGAAGGACTGGCGGATGCCTCGCGCACGACAGTAGGCACGCAGAAGGCCAGAGGAGAACTCTCCGCCTCTGTCCGAGTGCAGACGCAGAACAGGAAAGTCCGAGCCGAAGCTCTTCCTGAGCCGGAGACGAGCCTCGCGGATCCAGTCGATCAGCACCTCAGTGACCTCACCCTTGCTGCGCAAGGGGAGGACTGTGGTGTAACGCGAGTAGTCGTCAACCACCAGCAGGAAGTAGCGCTCGTAATCCTGCCCACGGACGGGGGCTGGGCCCCACACATCCATGTGAAGCGTCTGCAGGGGAGCCTCTGTCGGGGGGAAGTGGGAGGAGTGAGGAGTAGCCCGGAGGCGACCCTCGACACAGGGGACACAGGAAGGTCCTGGCCCGGAGGGGAGAGGAGGGAGAGACTGGGGAAGACCAGAGACAAGGACACGGGAAGCCATGCTCCGAAGACGGGGCAAGGAGGGGTGGCCAAGACGGTGGTGCCACAGGAGAGTCTCGTGAGACAGGAGGCGACAAGAACAGGGGGCAGACGCAGGACCAGACCTGGACGCAGCAGCAAACACCTGACCCGACGCTGCTACCTGACCGGACGCGGGGACAGGAGGAGACTCAGTGGTCAGGGTGTAGAGGCTCGACCCCGGCCGACGCGAGAACGTGGCCAGGTGCCGGCCTGTGCGTGCGTCCGTGCAGTGGGTCACCCGCTGACTCGCAGGAGTGAACTGGTGAACCCCCGCATCCTGTAGGTCTGCACCACTCACCAAGTTAGTCGAGAACGAGGGGAGGTACAGGCCAGACAGGGTGCCCGAGGGGGCAGCCGGACACGGGAGGACAGTGGAGAAGTGAGCGAGGACAGGACCCCCAGAGGGGTCAGCCAGGGAGACTGCAACCGGCCGACCAAGCGGCGTGAGTGTGGTGCGGTCCCGAAAGAAGGAGCGAGAAGCCCCAGAGTCAAGTGTAAAGGTGAGGGAGGCCGAAGCCAACGCGGTACCTGAGAGCGCAGCCTCACCCGCACCTGAGGAAGCAGACTCACTAGCACCTAGAGCAGCAGCCGCACCTGTACCTTGAGCAGGAGACTCACTAGCACCCAGAGCAGCAGCCTCACCAGTAGCTAGAGCAGCAGGTCCTATACCTGGGTCAGGCGGGACGCACAGGTGACCTGCACGGTCAGCACTAGTAGGCAATGCATACATGGCAGTGAGAATAGCATCATAGTCAAGAGCATATATATCTACCCTCTGCCTAAGCAACTCCACCCAGTCGGGAAGCTCAGCCTCGTCGCCAAACACGGTACGCCAGGCGTCGCTCAGACGGGCGAAGCAGCGGGACGGTGTATGACTACGTGTCCCACAAGGCTGACCAGTCCGAGTACCAGTGCGAATCACGTAAGAGCAGCGAACAGCACTGAGAGACCCTCCACTCTGAGCGTACCACTCACGAAGCTGGCGAGGCGTGAGAGACACGCGAGAGGGTCGCGGGAGCTGCATCTGGCCGCCACCACGAGTAGAAGCAGCAGGAGTGGTAGTAGGAGTAGCGTCGCCACCCCTACAGCCCCAACCAGCGTACCACTCACGCAGCTGCTGCGGCGTGAGGGACTCACGCCGGCGTCGCTGGGGCTGCATTTGGCTCCGCAAGTAGAAGCAGGAGCAGGACTAGCAGCAGGGAGGCAGGCAGCCAGGCAAGCCAAAAGGCAGGCAGGCAGGCAAGCAGGCGACGCGCAGCGTGCTAGCAGGGCAAGAGCTCACCAGTGGTGGGAAGAGTAGGTTCGGCGACTCAGCGGCTCGGCAGCTCGGCGGCTCCCTACCTCCGAGCGTGCGCACTTTAGCCAGTACAAGAGTGCTCAGACCTTGTACGACGCTGTACTCGCGCGCTACTCCTCCCCTGCCACTGCTGCACTGAGCCGTCTCATGCTGCCATACTAGACCTGACCTTGCTGCTTTTCCCACCGTAGCTGACCTCATCACGCACCTCCGCACTAGTGACACTCGCTACCGCGCTGCACTCCCTGCTGACTTCTGCGCCAAGAACCCCCCCCCCATGTACATCACTCTGTACTTCCTAGTCACTCGCCTCCCTAACTCCCTTCGCGTAGTCAGGGACCACTTTCTCTCAGTCTGTCCCACCACGCTCACCGTAGACCTCCTCGAAAAGACCCTCCTAGCAATAGAGAAGAGCATCGTCGCTGTAGGAGCCTCTCGAGGTGACCCGCGCACCCCCATCTTTGAAGGGTGTTCTCCCTCCCCCCTGCTGCCCTCTGTTGCCTTTGCTGCTGCGGCCGACCTCCTTGGTCTTGAGTCGGTCGGCGCGGCGTCTGCCCCTAGCGGGAGACGCCGCCCTGGCAAGGGCAAGGGGGGCAAGGGAGCTGGAGGAGCGGGCGGTGGAGGTGGAGGTGGAGGCGGTGGGGGGAGTGGGGGTGGCGGTGGGAGTGGAGGTGGGGGTGGAGGGGTCGGTGGCGGCAGTGGAGGCGGAGGCGGCGGCGGCGGTGGCGGTGGGAGCGGAGGTGGCGGAGGAGGCAGCGGTGGAGGCGGCGGCGGAGGCGGCGGCACTGGTGGAGGCAGCGGAGGAGGCGGAGGCGGTGGGGGTGGCGGTGGAGCTGGTCACGGGTCCTCGCAGAGGAGTGGCTCCGGTAGTGACGCGCGCCAGCAGCAGCAGCGCGGTCGTGAGACCCTGTCCCCTCAGCAGCTCCGTGAGTGGTACACTGCACGCCAGCGGGGTGGGGGTTTTGGTCCGTGCACCTACGTCCTGCGCACCGGCGACCGTGCGGGTGAGCAGTGTCGGGGTGCGCACCCCACCTAGCGCTGCTTTGGGCGCCTGACGGACGCGTGGCGTCACCAGTTCCCGGAGGCCTCAGAGATCCCTCGCTGGGGCGAGCTGTCTAGGGCGGGTGTGGCCATCTTTGATCTTGACTTTGATGCTATTGTTTCTGCCATGTATGCTGTGTCTATTAGTGATGAGGGTGACTGTTACCGGTGTTTCCCGCCTGATCCGGGCATTGAGACTGCTACTCTAGGTACTGGTACGACTGCTGCCCTAGGTGCGTGCGACGCTGCTGCTCTAGGTGCTGGTGTGTCTGCGTCCTCAGGTACTGGTGAGTCTGCGCTCTCAGGTACTACGTCGGCTTCGGCCTCCCTCACCTTCACCCTTGACACTGGGGCGTCTCGCTCCTTCTTTCGAGACCGCACCACACTCACGCCACTTAGTCGGTCGATTGCGGTGTCTCTGGCTGACCCCTCTGGGGGTCCTGTCCTGTCTCGCTTCTCCACAGTCCTCCCTTGTCCGGCGGCTCCCTCTGGCACCCTGTCTGGTCTCTACCTCCCCTCGTTCTCGACGAACCTGGTGAGTGGTGCTGACCTACAGGATGCGGGGGTCCACCAGTTTACTCCTGCGCGTCGGAGAGTGACCCACTGTACAGAGGCTGGCACAGGCCGCCACCTGGCTACGTTCACCCGTCAGCCGGGGTCGAGCCTGTACACTCTGACCACTGCGTCCTCTCCAGTTGCTGAATCTGATAGGGTAGCTGCGTCGGGTCAGGTGTTTGTTGCGGCGTCCACGTCTGGTCCTGAGTCTGCCCCCTGTTCGTGTCGTCTCCTGTCTCACGAGACTCTCCTCTCGCACCACCGCCTTGGCCACCCCTCTCTGCTTCGGCTCAGAGGCATGGCCTCACGTCTTCTTGTGTCTGGTCCCCCCCGGTCCCTCCCTCCCCTTCCTCAGGGCTCTGGCCGTGCCTGTGTCCCCTGTGTCGAGGGGCGCCAGCGTGTTGCCCCTCACTCCTCCCAGTTTCCTTCGACAGAGGCCCCGTTGTAGATGCTTCACATGGACGTGTGGGGCCCAGCCCGCGTCCGTGGACACGGTCACGAGCGCTACTTTTTGCTCGTTGTTGACGACTACTCGCGTTACACCACAGTCTTCCCCTTGCGCAGCAAGGGTGATGTCACTGAGGTGTTGATCGACTAGATCCGCGCAGCTCGTCTTCAGCTTAGGCAGCGCTTTGGCTCAGACTTTCCTGTTTTGCGTCTGCACTCGGACAGAGGCAGAGAGTTTTCCTCTCGCCTTCTGCGAGCCTTCTGTCGTGCACGAGGCATCCGTCAAACCTTCACGCTTCCGGACTCACCGCAGCAAAATGGGATTGCAGAGCGCCGCATTGGCATGGTCATGGACGTCGCTCGTACGTCTATGATGCATGCGGCTACCCCCCATTTTCTGTGGCCGTTTGCGGTCAGGTACGCGGCGTATCAGCTCAACCTCCACCCCAGGGTCTCCAGGCCGGAGACCTCCCCAGCCTTGCTGTGGACGGGGAAGGTTGGCGATGCGTCGGCGTTCCGGGTCTGGGGATCTCAGGCGTTTGTCCGCGACTTGACTGCGGACAAGCTGTCCCCTCGTGCTGCTCCTTGCGTCTTCCTGGGGTTCCCCCCTGACGCGCCTGGGTGGCACTTCTAGCACCCCACCTCTTGCCGTCTTCTGTCCTCCCAGGACGTCACGTTTGACGAGTCGGTCCCCTACTACCGCCTCTTCCCCTACCGCACTCCGTCTCTCCCCCCACCCCCACTCTTCCTGGTACCAGGTCCCCCTCAGGTAGACCCCTTGCCCCCTCAGGGTCCTGCCCCTTCAAGTGTGTCCCACGTAGACGCAGTCGAGCTTGTCGAGGTCACTGGTGACTCTGGTGTTGCTAAGGGTGCTGCCGCTGGGGGTGTTGAGCCTGGGGCTGCTGGACCTGGGGGTGCGGGGCCTGGGGGTGCTGCGTCTGGGGGTGTTGAGCCTGGGGGTGCTGAGCCTGGGGGTACTACGTCTAGGGGTGCTGAGCCTGGGGGTGCTGAGCGTGGGCTTACTGAGCCGGGGGGTGCTACGCCTGTGGGTACTGCGTGTGGAGGTGCTCCACCTGGAGGTTCTCCGGGTTCGTCTCGCCGGGAGCCACTCTCTCCACAGGAGCTGCGCGAGTGGTTTGCCCGGCGCTGGCGTCGTGCTGCTGGTGCTGGAGGTTCTTCGGCTGCCTAGGGTGCTGCAGTCCCGGGTCCTGGAGGTGCTCGTACTGGTAGTACTGGAGCTGCTGGGCCTGCGGGTTCGACTGAAGCTGGTGCTGCTGCGGGTGTTGGCGCTGAGACTGCCGGTGGCGGTCCTGCTGGAGGTGCTCCTGGTGCTGCTGGAGGTTCTGGAGCTGCTGGAGGTGCTGCTGGAGCGGGTGCTCCTACTGAGGGTACTGGTGGTGTCCCTGCTGCTTCTGGCGTTGCCATGCGGCCTCGACCGTACTTCGTTCCACTCCTTCAGCACGTTCTTGGTCTTCCACCTTCTACTGGTCCTCCTCCTCCCTTAGAGTGTCCGCAGCCTGTCCAGCCACAGTTATAGCTGCAGCCTACCTCCCCTTTGCCTGCTCCTTCTCCCTACACTGGTCCTACTGGAGGTCTTGCTGAGCGTCGTGAGCCTGCGTCTCGCCCTACGTCGCCTGTCCGTCCTACTCGCGCTAGTGGTCGTAGTTCGTGTGAGCGTCCTCCTCCTGTCCCTGGCACGCACCGGATGTCTCTGCGTCCGTCCATTGCTCCTCTGCGTGCCCCTTTGCCTTCTCCTCCTGAGTCCTCTCTTCCTGCTCTTCCCGACCCGGAGTCGGACTCTCTTCGTGCTGCCAGTCCTACTCTCACGCGTCTCCTGGCTACTATCGTCACTGACCCTTCTTTTGAGTCTACTGCTGCGTCTGCTCTAGTTGCTGAGCTCGTCGGATTTGCTGCTCGTTGTCGCTTAGACTACGCTGCGAGTCTTGTCGCTGAGTCTGAGTCTGTCTGTCCTCCATCCGTCGGGGGTGAGTGTGCCCTTGGCACGGACGTCCTTGAGGACAGGTAGGAGGAGTTCCAGTGTCTGGCTGCTGCTTCACCTCATCTCGTGTCCGTACTGCTTACCCCTGAGGGAGACCCGGATGCACTTGACATCCCGACTCCGTGCTCTTACGCGGAGGCGATAGAGGGTCCCTACTCCTCTTAGTGGCAGGCAGCTATGGATGCAGAGATGGCTTCCTGGAAGTCCACAGGCACCTACGTTGACGCTGTCCCCCCTCATGGGGCGAACATCGTCAGTGGCATGTGGATCTTTAGGGTGAAGCGGCCGCCGGGTTCTCCGTCTGTCTTCAAGGCGCGTTACGTGGCTCGTGGCTTCAGTTAGCGGCAGGGAGTTGACTACTTTCAGACCTTCTCCCCCACCCCGAAGATGACCACTCTTCGGGTACTGCTGCACGTTGCTGTTCACCGTGACTACGAGCTGCACTCTCTCGACTTCAGCACAGCTTTCTTACAGGGCAGCCTGCACGAGGAGATTTGGCTGCGTCGCCCACCTGGCTTCACTGGGTCTTTCCCTCCTGGTACCTAGTGGAGTCTCCGGCGTCCAGTCTACGGTCTCCGCCAGGCGCCACGTGAGTGGCACGACACACTGAGGACTACGCTTGCGGCTCTTGGGTTTGCTCCTTCTACTGCCGACCCGTCGCTGTTTCTGCGCACCGACACCTCTCTGCCGCCGTTCTACATCCTCGTAAACGTCGACGACTTGGTTTTCGCCACAGCTGACACTGCTGGACTCGCCTACGTTAAGTCCGAGCTGCAGAAGAGACACACGTGCACAGACCTGGGTGAACTGCGCAGCTACCTTGGCTTGCAGATCACCCGGGACAGAGCACGCCGCACCATTACCCTGACTCAGTCACACATGGTGCAGCAGGTCCTTCAGCGCTTCGGCTTCACGTACTCCTCGCCTCGGGCCACTCCTCTACCTACTCGCCACTCGGTCTCAGCCCTGCCTTCGGATGAGTCCGTAGAGTCGAGTGGCCCGTACCTAGAGCTTGTTGGCTGCCTCATGTACTTGATGACCTGCACACGTCCTGACCTTGCATACCCTCTTAGCATTCTCGCACGCTATGTTGCTCATGGGAGACACCGACCAGAGCACATGGCTGCAGCGAAGAGGGTGTTGCGCTACTTGTGCAGTACGTCGGGCATGGGGCTAGTGCTTGGAGGGCGGAGTCCAGTGGTCCTTACTGGGCACGCGGACGCTTCTTGGGCTGACGACTAGGCTACGTAGCGGTCGTCACAGGGTTACACCTTCAGCCTTGGTTCCGGCTCTGTTTCGTGGCGGGCTACTCGCTCGTCTTCTGTTCTCGGCTCCAGTTGTAGAGGCTGAGATCTACGCCGGGGCCATGGCTGCACAGGAGCTTCGCTGGCTCACCTACCTACTGACCGACCTTGGAGAGCCGCCTCGTTCTCCTCCAGTCCTGTACGTAGACAACAAGGCCATGCTGGCCTTGTGTCGAGAGCAGCGACTGGAGCACAGAACAAAGCACATTGCTCTCCGCTACTTCCTTGCTCGTGAGCTACAGCAGCGTGGACAGTTGCGGCTTGCGGACGTGGCCTCTGAGGCCAACACTGCTGATGTCTTCACCAAGGCACTTGTGCCTTGTGATCATCAGCGCTTCTGTACTCAGCTGGATCTTGTGCCCGTCTTGCCTCACTTGCTCTCCTCTTGACCTTGCTTGTCATCTCACATATATGTATACTTGCTCTTGCTTGTCTAGTTTTATATATATGTGTGTACTCTTGCTTGTGGACTGGCCTTGTTGCCTTGACCTTGTGCTCAGACAGTGTGGTGACTTTGTGATCCACCCTGAGCTTGCTTTGCTTTGCTTTCCTTGACTGGTCTTGTGACCCCTTGTTCTCCCCTTCTTTGCCTATGGGGGTGTGTCATAGCATTATAGCTTATGCTGTTGTGTAGGCTATAGTGGGGTATCCCATAGGGGGTACAACCCAATTAGGGTTTCTTATTTGTACTCACTTCATTCATAGTTGATGCATTCTCGTTCTCATTTTCACAGGGTGCAACGTAAGTGCAAAAAACCCACAGGTGTAAGGTTTCCATCATGGGCGGGGCAATTTCGCGTGCACTGGTTGGGCATCATGTGTATAGTGTTTGAGTCATCTTGAATTGTGTACAGTGCATGTAGTTTCTGCATCTCCTACAAGAAGCTGAATTCGTGAAAGCTGAATGGCTAGCTGTCCTGGCGAGACATCCCGAAGACAAGGACCAAGTAGAGTGCCCTTGCTTCGTGTTGTACACCCTGTTTCTCGATGTTTGAACAGACGGGAGCCCCGGCTACAGTGCGCACGTGTGCTTGGATTCAGCGGGCTTGTGTTTGCAACCGAAATGCACTTCAAGAGAACGGTAGACAACGGTTTATAAAAATAAGCGTGCTTTTAAGTTTGGTTTCGTGCGGCAAAAGTGCTTATACGGTATGTTCTGGGACCAATTTGGACGCATTGATGTCACACAACCGGTTTATCAATATGGCGAATGTCAGTGTGGCGCGAAACAGGGTGTATTTGGAGAATTCATTTGTTTTCCAGAGCCGACTAACATTTTCCTCGTATCCAATTGCTGTTACTACGAGTCCAGCGAGTCATTTAGTGTTACTTTACTTACGCTGTTAGTCCGCGACGTCACCACTCCTGCAGAAAAAGGAAAATAAGGAAAGAAAGCAAAAAAAGGGTTTGAGTAGTACCGTCTTTCTTTTGGTCGTCTTCACTATTACCTCATTCACGCGCGCGTTAGTTCAAAGCTATGAGCTTCCTTCGGTTTAGACGAGGATCATCGGAAAACAGCTACTTCAATCAAGTAAGAACACTCCCGGCCTCCGCACTTTCCCTCAGTAACTTTCCGCATCCCCGTCCTTTCCCTCGTCCCTTCCACCCCCCCTTTCCTCTCCTCTCTCCCCCTATTTCCCCGCCTCTCCCTCCTCCCCCTTCCTCCTTTTCCTCCCGCTGCTTAACCCCAAAATCTGGTCCTTCCAAATCCAGGTTATTCATTCTCCCGTTCCGTGTCTCTTTTGTAACATCAGATTTTGGCAAAAAATCCATTATCTCTTGTTTTCGTGTATCCGCGTGTTCCTTTCCTAGTTTTTTCACCTTCTTATATATTTCCTCCTTTCATCTCATCTTTTGCCCGTCTATCCGCTTCATATGCTTTTCAGGAAAGCGAGTTGAAGGCCAGCAAATTAAGAGATTCCGCGCAGTTGCGCTCCCAAAATAATTATGGAGATATTTGTTTTGGGAGTTCCGATGGCAATGCCGCATCAGCAGCCCCTCCTGCATCTACCAATTTTGATAACTCCGTGGATGTGCTCCCGGAGATTCTCAGCCATCGATTGCCTCTCGCGAGCCGATCAGAGCCGTTGATGGACGTCAGGTACTCGCCAGGTGGATCTGGAGATGCAGCGAGTAATGACAGAGGTGGAGATGCAGATAGATTCGCACACGTCAGCAGATCAGCGCCAGGTGGATCTGCACTCGTCAGCAGGGCGGCCAGGGGATTGCCTGGTGCATTGGAGGGGGCGGTGGGGCATGTTCCGCAGACGCGGCTCGGCAGGGGCAAGTGAGTGCGGTGCAGACAGGTGGAGTGCGAGCGAGTGCGGAAAATTAGTTTTTGAGGATGTCCTGATTGTGTAACCCTAGGAGCGAGTTTTTTGGGGCCAGAGAGCAACTATGTTAGCTACCCTTCGCTATCCAGTTATTCCAGGGTTTTTTTCCTGCTTTCACTTGTTTTCACCTTCTTTCTCCTGCTTTTCCTTCTTTCTCCTCCCTTTTCCTCCTTTCTCCCGTTTCTTCCTGCTTTCACCTGTGTCGTCCAGCTTCCTCATATTTCCTCCGGCTGTCTCTGGTTTTCTCCTGCTTCGTCCTCCTTGCAACCTGCTTTCTCCTGTTATCTCTTTGCTCATCCTTTTCTGCTTCCTCTTCCTTTCTCCTGCTTCCCCATGCTTCCCCATGCTTCCCCCCTGCCTGCCTTTCTGTTGTGCCGTGTTCGTGCATCCTCCACACCACACGCCTTTCCCATCCACACACCTCCCCCATCCACACACCTCCCCCATCCACACACCTCCCCCATCCACACACCTCCCCCATCCACACACCTCCCCCATCCACACACCTCCCCCATCCACACACCTCCCCCATCCACACACCTCCCCCATCCACACACCTCCCCCATCCACACACCTCCCCCATCCACACATCTCCCCCATCCACACGCCTCCTCCCTCCACACGCCTTCCCCCTCCACACGCCTTCCCCCTCCACACGCCTTCCCCCTCCACACGCCTTCCCCCTCCACACACCTCCCCCATCCACACATCTCCCCCATCCACACGCCTCCTCCCTCCACACGCCTTCCCCCTCCACACGCCTTCCCCCTCCACACGCCTTCCCCCTCCACACGCCTTCCCCCTCCACACGCCTTCCCCCTCCACACGCCTTCCCCCTCCACACGCCTTCCCCCTCCACACGCCTCCTCCCTCCACACGCCTTCCCCCTCCACACTCCTGCTCTCTACACACACCTTGCCTAGGTACCAAATATCATTCGATAACGCGCACACGCCTTCTCCTTCCACAGCCAATGAGAGGCGGCCACGTGGACCGGACAAGGCGACAACAGAGGGCATGGCGCAGGCTCTCCGGATGGGTGTGTGTCAGAGGGCGGTTGGGAGGGTGAATGGGTGGGTGTTAGGGTGGGAGGGTGAGAGGGTGGGTGGTAGGGTGGGAGGGTGAGAGGGTGGGTGGTGGGGTGGGAGGGTGAATGGGAGGGTGGGAGGGTGAGAAGTTGGGATGATGGGTGGAAGGGTTGGCGGGTGGACGGGTGGATGGGAGGGTGGGGGAGTGGGAGAACAGGGAGAAGTATCTTAGTATCTTGTTCGTGAGCTTGTATCTCTTCTTTGTCCACCCTCCCCCTTCCCGTTCCCACTCCCCTCGTCCACCTGCTTTCTCGTTGCATTTTCATGCATGACGGTTCTTTTAGGAGCCTCAAAATAACATCCCAGGAAAAATGCATTTTAAAAAGCTAGCATCTTTCTTCCCCCTTCCCGTTCCCCCTCTCATCCCTCCCCCTTGCATGTTCCTGTGATGGGTTAGTGACCAAATCGTTTGCTATAGCCACTGTGATAGTTGCGGGGGGAGCAGCAGTGGCCGTGGCAGCCACGTTTCGAGCATTGGATGTCCAAACGGTACGTGATGTGGGGTTGTTCCTGGTGCAATGTGTGTGTGCCCTGATGTGGTGCTGTTGTGTTACTGTCGACTCAAACCACGCCTAGTGTTGGGGGTGGGGAGGGGCGGGGGGGGCTGCTGTGGCCGCGGTAGCCACGTTTCAAGCCTTGGATGTGCAATTAATACGTGATGTGTTGGCTGCTGTGTTGTGAGCGTGACCTGATGTGCTGCTGCTGCTCATGTGGTGGTGTTGCTGATGTGTGTGCGGGCGTTTGTGTGGGTGCCTATGTGCGTGTTTGCTGCTCTGATGTGGTGGTGTCACTGCCGGTCGTGTTGTTCCTAATTATCTGTCTCAGCCAAGAGGCACCCATGAATAACCCCTTGCTCGTTCATGGAGTCTCCAGCCCTCTTTACATTGAAGTTTTTTTTGGACGGGTTATAAATCACCTCAGTGCATTTTCAGGCGCCTTGAAAATCACCCATGAATCACGCATGAATACTAGTTCATTCATGCGAGTCTCTAGCCTTTGTTTAGCATGGGGGCATTCCTGCGAAGAGAAAATCTTATTTGCTTTCGAGGCACCCCTAGCATATCTCTTGCTTGTGCACGCATCTCTAATTCTGCACCCCTTCACCAGCCTTATATGTATTTTGAGGCACCTCAAAATACACCTCAATGCACGCGGATTTCATACGGAGAGGGTTATTACAGCTTGGAAGTGTTCGTGTCTCTTGCTTGTGCACGCGTCTCTAATTCTGCACCCCTTGACCGCTCTCAAAAGACTTGGAAACATTTTTTTTTGCTCGTGGATGTGACTCCTCTATCCTGTCACCAGCTTCAGGACCTTCCTGTGAAGGAAAAGATTGTTTTGCTCTCAAGGCACTCGCCTGTAACATGTTTCTGTGCTCATGCATGTGAGTCTCCGCTCCTTTCATCAACTTGAGGACCTGCCTGTGAAGGTAAAAGCCTTTGCAATCTCAAGGCAACCCTAATACTTTGCTGTTCATGAATTTCCCTCCTATCACCAGCTTGAGGACCTGCCTGTGAAGGTAAAAGCCTTTGCAATCTCAAGGCAACCCTAATACTTTGCTGTTCATGAATTTCCCTCCTATCACCAGCTTGAGGACCTGCCTGTGAAGGTAAAAGCCTTTGCAATCTCAAGGCAACCCTAATACTTTGCTGTTCATGAATTTCCCTCCTATCACCAGCTTGAGGACCTGCCTGTGAAGGGGAAAGCCGCCATCCAACCACGAATTGATGCCATTGCTCAGTGGCTCTCCCCACTTAATCACCAGGTAATCCCCTCAGTGGCTCTCCCCTCTTAATCACCAGGTAATCCCCTCAGTGGCTCTCCCCTCTTAATCACCAGGTAATGGTAATTGCTCAATGCGTTGATGCCATGATTAACACATTGTTCCTTCACCAGGCTCTCCCTGCGTATGTTTTTTGAGAATTCTAAAAAAACCAGGCTCTCCCTGCGTATGTTTTTTGAGAATTCTAAAAAAACCAGGCTCTCCCTGCGTCTGGTTCTCAACTCACCCATTTTCAGGTTATGGATACCATACCCTCTGTTGCCACATCAATTTGCATAGCAACTGTCAGGGTTTGGTGATTAATGTACTAGTATTTGCCCTAGCTTAGCAGCCGCCTTTTTCCAAAATGGTACCATTCTTTTTACTTCCTCAAGAAAAGCTCTTGCGCTGCTGCTGTTGGGGCAGCAACCACCAGCAGCTGAGGGACACACATGGTTGTGGGTGAACATATAGGTGGTTAGCAGTCTCTTTCAAGGTATCTTTATCAAAACGAATTAATAATCCTGCTCTTCTATATCCCCCCCTGCCTGCTGCTGGCAGGTGCAGCAAGTAGCAGCAGAATGGCAGATGAAGGAGGGGGACCAATCAGCCCTGGGATCAAGATTTGCTGAGTCAATTGGAGCAAGAAGAGACCATTCAGAGAGGCCTGCTGATTTGAAGGAAGCAGATGGAGATGGATGAGGAGAGAGAGAAATGGATAAGGAGAGAGGAAAGGCTGATGCTTGAATCTTAAATCCAATCATGCACGCTACCGTACTTCACAAAAGTGCCATGTAAAAAGGAGTAACGGAGTGAAGGATGCTGGGCGGAATGGATGGAGGATGAAGCAGAGGACAGAGAATGGAGCGGAAGGGATGGCTATACTGCAGAGCAGGGTTACAAGCAAACCCATGATTTGCTGGACTTCTTTAAGCAAATCGTCTTGTGCTGCCCAAGTGATTGGTGGGATGGGACACGATGCAGCAGGTAGGCACAGGCAGCAAGGGCTTTGCTGACCTGCAGAAGAGCGGATTTCAGGTGGTGCTGGCATCAATCAAATACCTGAAACGGAAAATTGATGGGAGAAGCCATATGCCAGCCACAATTCCACATCAGCCAGCTACTGTAACAGCCATGTCCTGCTGTGTTTGCTTTAGCCCTGCATACCTGTCTGTTACCATATGCAGCTGATCCGGTTTCAAATGCTCTTGCAGTTTTAAATGTTGCTGCATTTTTCAGTGCTGTGCAAGGCACCGCACCCCAACAAGCAAATATACTTTCTTGTTGCCCCATAAGCATTCAGCTTCCCAGTAGTAGCTGCTATTCCATAAGAGGGCAAAAAGCAACCGCTTTCAGGCGCATTCATCTCAGATTCTAAGCAGCTCCTTGTTCCCAGTGCTCATGGGCAGCACTCTCCACTCCAGGTGCCACTCTCCAGCAGAGCGGACGACTCTCCATCCATTCCCCCCGTTCCATTCCGTGTGAAGGTCATGCATTAGCACACCCACTCTCCAGGAACCTTCCTAATGTTGTTGCTGCAATGGCAGCACCCTTCCCTCAAGCAATCGACACTCCACCCCGCCTATTCCGTGGGGAGGCCACACGACGCAGCGCACCTGCCCCTCCAGGCAACTTGCACCCACTTTCCAGGCACTTTCTTAGTGTTGTTGCTTCAGAGGCAGAACTCGCCCCTCTGGCATTCGGCTCTCCACCCCCCCTATTCTGTGGGGAGGCCATACAATGCAGCGCACCCGGCCCTCCAGCAATGCAAGTGGCACCTGGCAGATGGTAAGGTGCAAGGTGCAGATGGTAAGGTGCAGGGTGCAGATGGGTGCAAGGTGCAGATGGTAAGGTGCAGGGTGCAGATGGTAGGGTGCGGGGTGCAGATGGTAAGGTGCAGGGCGCAGATGGTAAGGTGCAGGGTGCAGATGGTAAGGTGCAGGGCGCAGATGGTAAGGTGCAGGGTGCAGATGGTAAGGTGCGGGGTGCAGATGGTAAGGTGCAGGGTGCAGATGGTAAGGTGCAGGGTGCAGGAGGAACGGGAGAAGAAGAGAATTCAGCATTTTGTGGAGAGGCCACACACTGCAGAGCACCGGACTCTCAGGCAGTGCGAGTGGCACCTGGCAGGTGACAGGGGGAGCAATGCATGGCAGGGAAGAGTTTTCGGGAAGGGGGGGAGCGGGGGGATGCGGAACAGGGGAGAGGCGTTCCAGAACGGAAATAGAGTGAGATGCCACTGACTGAATACAACAACCCGCAACAAGCAAGCATGCCTTGCCGTGCCACTTGCTAGTACACCCAATCACACCACAGCTGCAGCCATGGCCATACCCACAGACACACTCCCACCTACCACCCACCACCCACCACCCAGCAACCACAACCACACTCATACCGGGCCAAAGTGTTTAGAATCCTCGCTGACATCAGCATTGTCCCCTTCCACCCAGCAGTGGCCCTTGGGGATCCGCCTGATGACGTCATCACCCCTGTTGGCGTCACTTCCGCTGGTGCTGGCGTCAGTGGTGCTGTCGCTCGGCACTGTTACCCAGTCGTCCTGTAGTGCGATGAGACGTTTTATGAGGCACACGTCGGGATCAATGGGTGATCTGCACTGTTACACGGGGGAGGGTTAGGAGGAAGGGAAGAGGACGAAGAGCGGAACACACGAAGAAATTTCTTCTTGTGAAAAAATAAAATAAAATATGAAATAAACAAATGGATAAAATCCACGAAAGCAGGCGGAGAGTGGGGTAGAGCGGTGAGCAGAAGAAAGCATTACGAGTCTCGTGAGAAACTGGTCGGGAAGTAGGGGACATGCACTGCTGTAAGAGTGAGAGAGGAGAGCAGGGGAAGAAGGGGAGGAGGACCTGGAAGAAAGGGGGGGCTGCGTTTTCTGCATTATCTGTTGCAAGGGGGACGGGGAGGGGAGAGGGGGGGGAGGGGAAGCGGGAAGGGGAGGGGAAGAGGTAACTGGTTAAGCATCTCCCTCCTCCTCAATCCACTCCCTCCTCCTCAATCCACTCCCTCCTCCTCAATCCACTCTCTCCTCCTCAATCCACTCCCTCCTCCTCAATCCACTCCCTCCTCCTCAATCCACTCCCTCCTCCTCAATCCACTCCCTCCTCCTCAATCCACTCCCTCCTCCTCAATCCACTCCCTCCTCCTCAATCCACTCCCTCCTCCTCAATCCACTCCCTCCTCCTCAATCCACTCCCTCCTCCTCAATCCACTCCCTCCTCAATCCACTCCCTCCTCCTCAATCCACTCCCTCCTCCTCAATCCACTCCCTCCTCCTCAATCCACTCCCTCCTCCTCAATCCACTCCCTCCTCCTCAATCCACTCCCTCCTCCTCAATCCACTCCCTCCTCCTAAATCCACTCCCTCCTCCCCTTCCTACCGCTCTTCTCTTCCCCATTCCTCCCCTACACTCCCACCACATCCCCCTCGATATAATCACCTGAGCACCACCACGTCTCCGCGCTGGTATTGCATGTAACGCGCCGACAGCCAGCACTGTCTACGTTCATCCCGCTTCACTCTCCCTCCTCTCTCCCCCCTCCCCCTCTCCCCCTTCCCCCGTCATAATCACCTTAGCAACATGACATCCTTACCTTCGCACTTCCCCACATTTCCCTTCCCTCCTCTTCCTTCTCCCTATTCTCCCCCTCTCTTCTCTCCTTTATCGTCCCACCTCCCCCCCTAACTCCCCATCCCCCCCGATATAATCACCTGAGCACCACAACGTCCCCCCGCTGGTACTGCATGTAACGCGCCGACAGCCTGTCTAATAGCACGCGATCGCTAAGGGCGGCACGGAATGGCAGGCCGGTTTTGTCACGTAGCGGGTTGAAGGTGGGCGACATGGAGTGGCCGTCCACGCCGCACATGCTGACGACGTTGTCGTGAACCGTCAGGACGACCGGCACGGCGAGGGATAACTGACGGACGAGCTGTCGCAATAAGAGGGGGAGGGTTGAGGGGAGGAGGATGAGGGATAACTGTCGGACGAGCTGTCGCAATAAGAGGGGGAGGGTTGAGGGGAGGAGGATGAGGGATAACTGACGGACGAGCTGTCGCAATATGAGGGGGAGGGTTGAGGGGAGGAGGATGAGGGATAACTGACGGACGAGGTGTCACAATAAGCACGAACAGTCGCAGAAATTTGGGGATGTGGTTTCTACAGAATAAAATAAGTAAAAAGCCAAACATTCTTCGAGTGCCGGATTTCGGACAATGAGTGAGGAAGAAATACGGGGAATTTTCGAAAAAGGAAAAAATAAGCATGCAGGATGCTCCTTGGGTGCTAGCAGGCAAACGCTTACCTGCCAGATAGCGAAGCGCATCGTCATGCCTCCAATAATGGCTTCGAAATAGACGAAATTGGTTGAGGGGGTCGAACTTCTAAACGATGCGACACGAAAGAGACCCTAGAGTCAATGGGTGGTGTCAGAAAACAGAGGAAATGACGAACCGCGGTGCTTGCTCGTCTCCAATTCCAACGGGCAGTGGTTTTCCCACTACCCCCCCCACGCGACCGCGCCCGATTCCCGCGGTCAGTTTTCCCCATTAAAAATGACTTTGTGGTTTTTTACGAGTTTTGAAATGGCCGATGGTTTCTGCCCGTGGCGACTATTCCAACTGAACTTCGCGACCCATCATTACGCCGCCCAGGATACTTTCGGAACAGTATGGGCCAATGATTACAAGTACATTCTATCCTTCGATCACGGAATCACCATAAATTTTAAATGGGCCCTCAATTTTCCCGCCACTCATGTTCGACGCGTGGTCAGTGAATCACACGTGAAACACTTCAAACTTTCCACACCGAACAATTTCGCGCGCGCAGCCAATTCACCGCCAGAAATTACAATCACGCCACCGTCGTTTCCCCAGAGAGGTCTCACAAAGGGCCCGTGAAGCACTGCTGGATGTCCATATCGCGCCCCACCTTTCCTCCCCGAAGTAACTGCTGTTCAGTCATCAACGTACAGTGGTGTTAACACGGTACCATCGTCAAGAGCATGTTACTGGGTAGGTGTCTAAGTTGTTGACGTATGCCTTGCCAGTACCGACCATTGGCATTAGATGTGACGATTTACTCCAACACCCAGCAAGAACCATGTCATTACCACCTCATAGCCCCGAGCGTATAGCGAATAGTATTTTAGAGGCAATGCGAAACGTCCCCCCCGTTCCGGAAGCACAACCAAAAGCCCCTAGAGATAATGCCCCACTGACACAAGGTGCAATATACTCCTCGAGGGGTGCGGCACTTAAGGCGGTGCAAGCCTTCGCGTTGCGGCACCGTTTTGGATTCGGGACTGTCGAGGTGGCGGATGCCCACGTGATACTCCAATGCAAAACCGCCATGCATGGAGTACTACCCATCTGCCCTTGGGAATGCAGTTACAGTAAGGTTGTACATGGCGGATTCTGGGAAGTGACGTCGCTTTCCCCCCCTGAAGCTCACATCTGCAGCAAGTACAAGCGAGAGCAAGGAGCAAACGCCATCGCCAACAGCATCAAGGTTATGAAGCGGCAATGGGGCAACCTTGTTCGTGGCGCACCTTTCATTTCTGCGAAAACCTTGCAGCAGATTCTCTCGTCACACAGCAAGTTTGTCATCAGTTACAAGCAGGCGTGGCGGCTCCGTGAGGCAATCCAGAAGGAAATGTACGGCGATTGGCAGGAGTCGTTCAGGTTGCTCCCGGAGTTGGCTCGCAGGTTCGAGCAGAACGATCCTGGTGGAATGTTCAAGATTCAGACGGTCGACGGATGCTTCCACCGGATGTACATTCAGCCGTCCGCATCTCGCGGTGCGCTTGGTTTTTGCCGGCCCGTTGTTGCACTAGACGGGACCTTCCTAATCAGTGCTCAACGCGCAACCCTGCTCATTGCCGTGGCACTTGACGCCAACCAGAAGATTCTGATGCTGGCGTGGGCTCTGGTCGAAGGAGAGAACAAAGACTCGTGGTCCTGGTTCCTGCAACACTTTATGGTGAGCTTCCCGGAGTGGCCGCACCGTGACGATGCATCAATTATCAGCGATCGCGACAAGGGCCTGATTCCTGCTGCACGAGATGTACACCCGGCTGGCATACCTCATTACTTTTGTGCTTGGCATCTCCACCAGAATGTTGTGAAGTTTGGAGAGGCTGCGGCTCTTTTTTTTTGGCGTCTTGTGAAGTGCAGGGACGACGACAAATGGGACGCATTGGTTTCAGCCGGCCGCCGTGACTTCAAGGAAATGATGACCTATCTCCTCGGCGACGAGAAGCCTATCTCGGGTCCAGCTCCGGCAGATGCTGCACAGCAGCAACGTCCCGCCCCCACCACAGCGGCTGAAGCACGTCAACAAGCTGCACAGAACCGTCGCCAGGGTCGTGAAGCAGCGCGTTCCGCCAGGGGTTTAGGGACCACATCACGTGCGCGTGGCCGTGGGGCGGGTGACGCGAGCGGGCCGGGAGCCACACCTCCCGAACCAGGGCATGCACCTACCGCAGGCAGTTCTGCCCTGACGGCTCCGCCGCCAGACCCCCCGGCCACAAACGAGCCGCCCAGTCGTCCCTCGGGCTCGACACCTGCGGCTTCACGTCCATTCGACTATAATCGCATCCTGCGACGCGTAAGGACAGGTTACATCCCCAGCAGCATCAGGACGGACCCGCCACGTGCATCAGCATCAAGCGGAAACTCGGGCCAGGGGGGAGACGAGCATGGTGGGGGAAATACCTGCCAGGCACTGGTCGTTGTCAGTCTGGATCACCCGTGGCCCGATGTCGGTAGTGGCAACCCCCGTGTGAGGGTTGAAGCCGACTTTGAGGAGGACGACGTGGAGGAGGCGGATGCAGAGGAGGCAGAGGCAGATGCTGCGGCTGACCCAGCTGCAACAGAAGGGAACCAGGCGGGGGCAGACGAGAACGCCGATGATGACACGGCTGAGGCCGGTGTCGCGAATGGGGTGCACACTGCACGCGTGAGGACAGGGTTTAGGCAGAACAAGCGGGGTACGAGGAAGAAGCTGGGCATCAACCTCGTCCACTGGACTCGCATTAAGGCCCCAACCCGTCGCTTTGGGATCTTTACGAGCAACGCCGCAGAGCAGGTCAACAGCTCAATCGTGCCCATTCGTCGCTTGCCGGTCTGCCCTCTGCTCGGGGGTCTCTGGGACTGGTATCGTAATAGGTATTGTGAACGCAAAATGGCTGCGCGTGAGAGAACTGCTCTACTCACCGAAGCTGCAGAGGAGCGGATGGTAGAGAAGGAGACCCGGGCGGAGGGGTACGAGCTACTGGGCGGGGATCTTGAGGAAGGAACCATCCAGACCAGGGACACCGATGATCCCAAGGAATGGAGGTCCTTCAACGTCAACATCAACAGCGAAGTGAGGACATGCGACTGCTCGAACTGGGACCAGTACCAGTTTCCTTGCTCCCATGCCGTGGCCTTTGCTCTGAAGCGAAAGCTTGACCCGCGCAGCCTCGTCTCTGACTACTACACCACGAAGAACTGGGCGGAGACTTATTCTTCAACGGTGCGGGGTTCCTGTGTGGACCGCACCGTCCTTGGGAGGAAACTGGCCCCAACAGGCCAGTGCGATGCTCCACCCTTTCGGCGCACGGCTGCCGGCCGCCCGCCGAGCTACGCTCGCGTCGAGAAGGCTGTGCATCCGTACAAGTGCAGCGTTTGCCGTCTCCACGGTCACACAAAGAACCGCTGCATGGGCAAGTATGGTGGGAGCGCATACCCGGAGAAGAGGAGGTTCCGTAACCGCCCTAAGGCCCGTAAATCCTATCGCGAGTCGGCACCTTTTGCGGGCACTATTTGAGAAATGTGGGGATTCACGGTATATTGTAGTCTCTACATGGGTTAGTGGCAGCGCAATGGCTGGGGGCAAGTATTAATAATACTGCGCTGGTTTAGGTGATGAGGTCGTTGGACCTGGATCAGGACTTCAATAGTATATAGTAGTCGGTTTAGTGTAGGCCACATTGTCACCTTAGCATCACGAAACAATGTGCACATTACTGATCGGAGGTTAAGCAAAGCCCTGCTTGCATTGGGACAACATTGCCCATGACTCATTCACCGTCGGCAAGTCACACTCTAGTGAAGGATGACCAGAAGTGTAGTAAATGAGTGCTGGGGGCCTAGTGATACCCCCGTGAAATCTTCACCCAGTACCGTCCATTTACTTCGCCACGCCATCGCGACTGAATGGTCAACAATCAGTCAGTATTTTTAAAAGTGTTTGATGTGGTCTCCACAATTTACGGAGCGACGTCTGAAGGCGCAGTCTTCGGAGGCGGCTCTGACACTACATTGCTCGTGAATCGCTAGTTGATGGCCCGCGAACAAGGTATGAGAACTTCGTGAAGGTTCGGTTCCTAGTTCCCGTTAGAAACCCGTCAAGAACCCGTCAACCCTCAGTGAAATACATGCTAAAGGCCAGCACAGCCGGGAGCCAACCATCCGTGGCTCGTGGTTTCTTATTGGTGAGCATCTCGTCAGCCCCTCACCCAAACCCTATCACTCCTCACGAGCTCGGCTGGTGGGTTGCGCCGAAGACGTTTCATTACCGTACGGCTATTCACCCTTTTCATGTTCATATCCGTGTGTATATCTGGTTTGCCCCTAGGCATGTCGCTGTCACGGAAGGAGTTAGGTTATGTCCCGATTTTTCATTTAAGTGGAATGTGAAGGAATTGGCTATGTCTCCTCGAGGAATTTGACCATCACGCGTGAAACTCACACTTCGTGATTATTACGCACTTTGGATTCTGTCAAAAGATTACTATAGTAATCTTCTAACATCTATGTCGGGGAGGCTACTTAACGGAAACCGCGTCTGGCAGCTAGCGTGATCTAAGTGGGATTTTACCGG